GATGTGATAATCCAATATTTATTAATCATTTACTATGTTCCAGGCAGCATGCTAAGTGCTTTTTGTGTGTTATCTTCTATCCTCTGTATCACTCTCTGCCTTATACCATGGATATTTGTATATACCTCTTCTTTACTAGCTTACAAGGTCCTTGAGGACTCGATCAACATCTTAGTCATTTTTGTTTTCTCCCAAGCCTAGCACAGGGCCTGGCACAGAGCAAGCACTGTATAAATATTTGTCTAATGAATGAATGAATAATTCAGGCAGGCAGAGTTAAAGTTTACCTTTGCTTGAACAAATGGTTTTCAAGCACCCTTAAACACTTGAGAAGCACTCATTTATATCCACATAATTAATGGGCTAAATTACAAATCATTCTTATCTTTTTATGACACAGGTTTCCAGAGACCTTGGCTAGAACTCATTTTGTTAGTGTAGTTTACAGATGCGAAAATAAAAACCACAAATACACATAATAACAAATTTCTTTTTGTGTAAAAATATTCTAGCATTCAGAATAGTGTTTTCCAAACAATCAGAATTAACTAAGTTTTACAAGCTCCTCTTTTTCTTCTGTGCAGTCATAAGGACTGTAAACTCTTTCACTTTGGATCCACTACTTCTTGGCCCTCTTGCTATAGTACTTTGCATAGTTATGCATCTAGAAATGATTGCTGATTAAGTGAAAGGTTTTGTGTTGGTTACAATTTATAATCACTCATTACTGTTCGGATCCTATTAGTTTGGCTAAGGAGCCAACACCTTAAGGGGTACTCGAGCCTTAGCCAATTATGGCAGTTGAGTCACTGCCCTGAGATTTGAAAACTATCCTTTTTTCCTTATTTCTTGCACGCCCAAGAATGGAAAACTGGTAACAGTTAAGGCCAAACAGTCATTTCTGAAAGTCCTATTACAGATTGTTGAATTTTGTTGAAGTGATTAAGAATTATAGCTTGTGAACAATTCGCATATTAAAATTGTAGAGTAATCCTAATATAAAAATCAATCCTTTCACCAGAAGATCAGAATTTTGATTTTTACTTAAAGAAATGCAAGTTTACTGTTCAAAACCAAGGCTGGTACAAAAATCATGTTAGTACTTTTCTCCCCCATGCTGAAGCAGAGATTAACAGTGTAAATACTGACACCCAAATTGTCTTTCAGAAAACCTAGGTAAAAATTAGAAGATTAAGGGCACAATAGGAGGGCAGTGCAAAGGCAGACCTGCTATAGTCACCATCACAAAGGCCAGCCACCGGCAGACTGCAAAGTGTTTACTCAAAGCCCTGTGCTATCAATTAGTGTACATAATTATCTCAGGGTCTGCCAGTTCACAAGAGGCAGTTTTTGAAGGTCTCGCTGGGCCCCCTTTGTCTTTTACTCCTGTTGGTCACAGAAGGGCTTTGAGGACAAGCCTTCCTCTGCGCTCAGGCTCTGGCTGGCTTCCCTTGGCAGCCCCAACAGGAATTATGTGAATTCCTCTAGTATAACAACAACCAAGCTACCTTTCTCCCCACACACGGCTTTGACCTTGTGCTGAGACTATTTAACACATGCAACAAAGTGCTTTCAACAGGCCATTGTAGTTTATAGTTTAAAAATATAGTTTCCACAAAGAAATGGGAAGTATTGTAGCACAAAATGGGCTGTAAATATTAGAGGTAAACAAATCAGAAGATGTAGGAAAAACTCCCTGTATTCCTGTAGCTTGGCAGTATTCAGGAAACGCTGGAAGATTGAAGGATGAGAGGAAGAACAGCAGTCATTCTTCTTGTCTCTCAGAGAAGCAGCTTACACTGATACTGCTAAGAATTTCCTAGGTAAATTAAGCCAGGAAACCACCCGAACCTGCTTTTGTAGCAAGGCCTACCAATAGAAATTTGCAAAGTAACTGAGGTTGGAGAAGGAAATTATATTGGGTAAAAAATAGATGAAGAATTCTTAAAAAACACTAAGGGTTAATCATTGATTTATTTAAAATCCAGTTGTATATGTACATAGAAATAATTATACTTCATTTTATGAGTGTGTGTATATACGTATAGAATAAGGTTTTATATATAAACTTCATACGTACACACTCACACTTTGGTCTGCCTGGATAATCCTTAGGCATGTCTAGAATCACGGAAAACCATGTATATCCCCTAATTTGGAGACTATACCATCTACTACTCAAAAATTTCAAGTCAGAAACTTGGGAGTCATTGCAGACTCCTCACTTCCTTTTACATCCCACACTATCAGCTCTATGCCATTTCCCTTACATTTATTCTGTGTCCTCAGTGTATCTGCTCCTCTCTATTTCTACTGTCTCCACAGGTCCTCAACATTTCAAGAGCCTTTTTACTATTCCTTCTGCCTCTAGGATCATGCCATTCCAGTCACTTCTATAGTTTTCAGGAGTGATCATCCTATCACAGAAATTTGAACATGTATGGAGCGCACTGAATACCTCATCTCCTGCCACTCTTCACAGTCACCCTATTGTAAACTACGTCAAACAGAACATGAGACAATGTCTTATATATCCATAACTCTTGGTGTGGGTTGCCCCCAAAGCAGTCCCTGAAACAAAGATATGGGTGTTAGTAGTTTATTTGTGAGGAAGTAGAGAAGGAAAAGAGGGTAGGGAGAAAAGCCAGTCAAGTATGTGTTAATGAACAGGTTACCACTGGGCCCCTTTGAGAAACTGTACAGAACATACCTCAGGATTGTCCCACTGAGGGTTAGCGGAGCTGGGATATTACTCACCAATGTATTGTTGGAGAGTCACTCCTGGGGGTGTTAACTCCCTGGCACTTCTAGCAAACAGCTACTTGTTCAGTGAATATCCTCAGGCAGAGAAATACAGGAAGCCACTTGTAGGTGACCTCCTGATAGGCCACAGGCACCAATAACATCTACTATATCATGCAGTGCCCATATTATGCCCTTTCTCCCAAATGAATTCTTTACTCCACTTGTCTTCCTGGATCCTTTAAGATTTAGGCCATTGAAGCCCTTCTTGACCTCCTTTGGAAGTGCTTTACTTCCTTCTCTGTGCACATTCTCTTCTGTTGCAGCTATTATGTTGTAGCTATTAATTTGCAAGTCTGACTCCACACCAGACTCTGGGCTCCCTGAGGGCAGTAACCTTAGTACTTAGCTTGGTGTCTGGCCCAAGGCAGATGTTCAGTCAATGTCTACTAGACAAGGACATGACTGTGTGTGTTAAAGAGAAGAGGATCCTGTTTTCCACATATGTAACTGAGAAAATTTTCAAAGAAACAAAACGTATGCTCCCATATTTTGAATAATATAAAGTCAAGTGTGTAGGAGGGAACACCAAGGGAGGAATCTTGGGTCCTAATTCAAGTTAGTTTGGCTCAGTTGCCTTCCCTATAAAAATGAGTGGCTATTAATGACCTTTAAACTTCTTTCAAGTTCCACAGATTTCAAGTGACTGAATCCATGTGTAAGTGAAAGCTGAAGCCCACAAACTATACAACAACCACATATGGAAATGTTTATGTGTGTGATATTCATCTGGATTCAAGGAAAGAGTATAGGTGGCAAAGACTTGAGACGCTGGCAGGTTTATAATGGTGTGTATACAAAAGAGTGAGTGTTGGAAGGGTCTCCTGGGTGAGAGGATACCTCCCAGGGAGTGGCCTGGCTACTGCACAGGAGCTAGCTGGGCAGCATGGCAGCCTCCAAGCTGGCAGGTGCCAGTGCCCTGGATGGAGCCCTGTTACTGCTGCCAGCCTCTGGGCAGTGTGGGACCACCCGAACTTACTTAGGTCACAGACCTACAAATAGCCACTTCCTGAGTTCTCATCAAATCCCTGGAAGGTAGGCTCTGGCTACATTTCTAGAGGGAACAGACTAAGTGCAACACTGACTACAGGCCATGCTTGGCTTCCTTGACACTCAGACAGTCTTAATCTTCCTAGAAATGTGACTCAGGGTAGAGGGACTAGGCAAGAATAAGGAAGAATAGGTGGGTGTCCCGGTCCTATGCATAACAGACTAACAAATATTGAGGAAGTTCATTTCAGAAAACAAATTCTCTTTTAAAATATTCTGAATATAGACATTAGAATTGTGTGTACATTGAATATGGCTGGATAAGATTTCTTTAAGTAGCTAGACTTTATTAGTTTCAAATCATTAGTTTCTTCTTGACAAATCCCTGATATATATATATATAATTTGTATGCAGTGCTGTTTAGAATTTAATTGTAAGAAAATTGTTTTACTGAACATCCTTAATATGCCTGAGGGATATGTCATATTTCTATCAGAAACACTGAGTCACTATTGCAAATGATTTTTACTTGGTAGGAGGGGAGAGAAAAGAACACGAGGCGGTTTACTCTGTCTCTCTTAGAGAATTACTGTTTTTGAGGACAGTCCACAGGGTGGGGTGAGGGGGTTCAAACGGCCAAGCAGGCCAGTCGTAGTCCCCGGCACACTGGCTAAAATGATGCCCATGGGTCATGTGTGACGTCAGGGGGCTACTATTTTTGGATGGCTCCTTTCTCTTATTCATGGAGATACCTTGGAAAGACAAAGGGGAAAATAAAGAACTTAGGAGGCTATAATTGAAAGCATGTGATGGTCAGGGCACTGTGAAGCTGTGCCGTGTTGTGCTGAAGGCTTGACTTGATTTGGTCTAGGCTTTGTCACTGACTTGCTGACTCAAGGAGAATCACTTGATTCCTCTGGATCTCAGTGGAAGAGGAACTGGATGACTTCTAAGGTCTCTTGTAGAAATTATAGTTAAGTTTATGACACCAACAAGAAAAAAAAGCTCTGACAGGAGCATGTAGCCAGGGAAAATGAGACATATTAGACAAGTCTCAATATGCGAAGCCAATAAGGACAGAGGTAGCACAAAGAGGAAAAGAGCCCAAGATGACCATGTACATCCCTATGAAATGACTCTAAAATGAGCAAAATCCAAGAGATGTTTCAAAAGTTGACTCCAGACTGACATCAAGTAGAGGCCTTACCTTCCGGTGACAGCAAAGCACAGTGTGCACATTCCGTGTAAGAACCCTGCGGCATGCTGCAGAAATGTGGCTGTTTTCGGATTCTCATCCACCGGGCCTTGCACCGAGAGGAAGCAGCCACAAAGCTTGTCGATCAGACCAATGTTCACCACGTAGCTAGATTTGGGGAGAAATGTGTGTTATCAATCTGCATAGTCTGGCAACATCTTCACCTTCAAAGATAAATCTTAACAAACACAGGCTTAGACCCTTCAAGCAAGCAGACACAACACACACAGGTTTGGGTACAGCATCTTAAATAACAATTTCCTTAGATTTAGTCCTGAATAATCAGCTATTTCTGTAAATGGTTCTCTTTTCTCTTTTGGTTATTCTGATGCTATTTTTTCAGGAAAGGGATCATCTGATCATTCTCACTGGTCTAGAGAGTCTGACAATAATTGAAATGATTTATAATGATCTCTATCCTCTTGAAAAGCAGCACTTCCTAAAGTGCTAGGAAGCTAAATTCACCAGAATTCAGGGATTCAGAAAATAAGATAATGCTACCCAGACACTCCTGTTACAACCTAAACTTCTAATGCCACTTTAGATTCTCTACTTTTTTTTAAACCCTATCACCATTAGGAGAATAACAGTGAGAATCTAATTGCTCTCTGTTATGAAAAGTAGCAGTCCTGAGAATTGACAGTAAAATTTATGAAGTCATTTTCATCTTTTCAGTCTATTAAACAGTTTTCCAGAGCTGTTTATTAACCTGGACCAACAACAGTAGTTCTTTTATTAGTCTACAAAGCAGAAATAATTGAAAATATCTGAAGACTATAAATGACCTTGTAGATAAATCAGCCTTAGCTTAGACATTTTATACCAATTCAGTGCTACTGCATTTACATGTATGAAAAGCGCAGGACTCTGAATATAGCAGTTCTGAAAATCAACACATACAAACTTTCAGCAATATGTGCAAAGGAATTGATGCTTCTGCTTGTAAGTGCTCTAAAATCCCTATCACTATTCATTTACTAATACAGTTTTTTGTAAAAGGAAGGAAAGCTGATGAATAATTCATGTTTGGAGCCTCTTCTAAGTTTACTATTTAAAAGGTATAAAATAATGTTCCCTTTCTCCTTTTACATGTGGAAATGCATTTATCTGGTTACTGAGCATCCGAGGACTGTTAGGAACCAGGCCACACAGCAGGAGGTGAGCGGCCGGTGAGCCAGCAAAGCTTTATCTTTATTTTTTAAATTAATTATTTTACATCTTTATTGGAGTATAATTGCTTTACAATGGTGTGTTAGTTTCTGCTTTATAACAAAGTGAATCCGTTACACATATACATATGTTCCCATATCTCTTCCCTCTTGCGTCTCCCTCCCTCCCACCCTCCCTATCCCACCCCTCCAGGCAGTCACAAAGCACCGAGCTGATATCCCTGTGCTATGCGGCTGCTTCCCACTAGCTATCTACCTTACGTTTGGTAGTGTATATATGTCCAAGCCTCTCTCTCGCTTTGTCACAGCTTTATCTTTATTTATAGTTGCTCCACGTAGCTCGCATTACCGCCTGAGCTCCACCTCCTGTCAGATCAGCAGTGACATTAGATTCTCATAGGAGTGCGAACCCTACTGTGAACTGCGCACGCGAGGGATCTAGGTTGCACACTCCTTATGAGAATCTAATGCTTGATGATCTGGAGCTGAAGAAGTACTAGATGCTAGTGCTGGGGAGTGGCTGCAAATACAGATTATCATTAGCAGAGAGCTTTGACTGCACAGACTATAATAAATTAATTGCCTGCAGACACATATCAAAACCCTATCAGTGAGTGGCAAGTGAAAACAAGCTCAGGGCTCCCACTGATGCTGTATTATGGTGAGCTGTATAATTATTTCATTATATATTACAATGTAATAATAATAGAAATAAAGTGCACAATAAATGTAATGCGCTTGAATCATCCCAAAACCACCCCCTCCCAAGTCCGTGGAAAAAATGTCTTCCATAAAACCGGTCCCTGGTGCCAAAAAGGCTGGGGACCACTATCCTACAGTTTTAAAATTGGGAAGTATGAAATGATGACCACTAACCCTATTATCTTATAATGAAGGAAAATGACATATTGACATATTGAACCCTAGCTCTGCAAGTTACTGGATGACCTTGGGCAAATTACCTCGCCCTTCTTAGTCTCTTTCCTTTTTTTTTTTTTGCAGTACGCGGGCCTCTCACTGTTGTGGTCTTTCCCGCTGTGGAGCACAGGCTCCTGACGCGCAGGCTCAGCGGCCATGGCTCACGGGCCCAGCCGCTCCGCGGCATGTGGGATCTTCCTGGACCGGGGTACGAACCCATGTCCCCTACATCGGCAGGCGGACTCTCAACCACTGTGCCACCAGGGAAGCCCAGTCTGTTTCCATTTTAATGTAACAGAATGTTAGTATAGGGTTCTTGTAATAAGTGACTGATAAGCTAATACATGCAAAGAAGTTGATACATTTTATTGTTAGTTTTATTGTTACTAGTAGTAATAATAGCAGTATTTTAAAAATAGATGCATGCAAACTTACTAATCATAAATACAATGAAAACGAAGACAACACAAAATACCATTCACAAATATCAGACTGACAAAAATCAGTGAGTTAATATAAAACACTGATAAGGATATGAAGAAATGGAATTCCTATCGTTTACTGATGGAAAGTGAAATCTGTAAAATCACTTTGGAGAACAATTTGGTGTTACTTGGTAAAGTTGGACATGCATTTATCATAACATTCATAAATTCCTACTGTAGGCATATAAACTTGAGAAACTCCCATATAGGTGCAAAAGAAGGTTTCTACAAGGATATTCATTGTATCATTGCTTGAAATAGTGAAAAAATAGAAACTATTGCCCTCAAATAGAAAATGGATGAACTGGGAATTTATTCATTTAATAGAATCTGTAGAGCAGTTAAAATAAATTTATCAGATTTATATGCATCAACATAGATCTCAACCCCATGTTATGTGAACACAGAAACTGACAAAATAGTATGATAGCATTTATGTAAATTTTAAATAACACAAAAAATAGAAAGCAGAATATATTGTTTATGGATATTTATTATATATATACATATAAATTTTATATACACAAATATATTTATATATATTTGTATATATTTACATATATACATATATATTACACACACATATATAAAAATTTTATAAAAATGCATAGGAACTATATACACATACTCTAACATAGTGATTTACATCTTGAGCGAGAGTAAGAGGAAAGGGATGGAGATGGGGAGTTAGCTGTATCTACAACATTTGGTTTCTTACCAATAAGAAAAAATATCTAAGACAATATGGAAAAATGTTATTGGTTACTGAAAGATGTTGTCAAGTTGGTACATAGGTATTGATAATTTTGTTAGGTGTATGTTGACACACTTCATCATAAAATAATAGAAAACTTAAATATTTTAAAAGGCAATAATGACAAACAGAAAAAGCATTTGAAACGTGTAAGATGAAGGGCTAATGTATTTTCCCCCCATGTTTATTGAGATATAGCTGATATATACATCATGTAAGTTTAAGGTGTACAATGTGATGATTTGACATATGTATATACTGTAAAATGTTACTGTTTTCCAGTTTCACACCACTGTGATTGGAAAAGGTACTTGATATAATTTCTGTGTTCTTGAACTGTTGAGACTTGTTTTGTGCCATAACATAGGATTCATCCTAGCAATTGTTCCATGCATATTTGAGAACAATATGTATTCTGCTGCTGTTGGATGGAGTGTTCTATATATGTCTGTTATGTCCTTTTGGCCTACAGTGTTGTTGAAATCTGCTGTTTCCTTACTGATTCTCTGTCTGGAAGATCTATCTATTGTTGGGAGTGGGGTATTAAAGTCCCGACATATTATGGTATTGTTGTTTTGTTCTCCTTTTAGTTCTTTTAGTATCAGTTTTATATATTTAGGTGCTTCGATGTTGGGTGCATAAATATTTACCATACGACTGTCATATCCTTGGTGGATTGACCTCTCTATCATATAATGACCTTCTTTGTTTCTTTTAACCATTTTTAGCTTAATATCTATTTTGTCTGATATAAATATAGCTACTCCTGCTTTCTTTTGCTTACCATTTCCTTGAAATATCTTCTACCCCTTTGCTCTCAGTCTATGTGTGTCTTTAAAGCTAAAATGAGTCTCTTATAGGCATCATATTGTTGGATACTGTTTTTTTATCCCTTCAGCCACTCTATGTCTTTTGACTGGAGAATTTAATCCATTTACACTTAACGTATTGATAATTACTGATTGGTAAGGACTTACTATTGTCATTTCATTAATTATTTTCTGTTTTTTAGATCCTTTGAACCTTGCTTCCTCTTCTGCTGTCTTCTTTTGTGATTTGATGACTTCTTGCAGCAGTATGCTTTGACTTCTTTACACTATATGTATCTACTACAGGTTTGTATAGGCTTAAATAAAACATATATATTACATCCTATTTTAAGTTGATAAAAAGTTTGATAGCATACAGAAACTTTATACAGTTGTCCCTTAGTATTTGTAGGGAACTGGTTCCAGGACCCGCTATAGATACCAAAATCCGCAGAAGCTCAAGCCCCATCATTGGCCCTCCATACCCTCGGTTCTGCATCTACAGATTCAACCAACCACAGATTGTGTAGTACTATAGTATTTATTGAAAAAAACCTGCATGTAAGTGGACCTGCACATTTTAAACCTGTCTTGTTCAAGAGTCAACTGTACTTTTATTTCTCCCTCTTTATATTTTAGGTTATTCATGTTATAATTTATGTATTTTTATAGTGTTCATTCAATAACAAATTACTGTGGTTATGTTTATATCTATTATGTTTGATTTTTTTTTTTTTTGTGGTATGCGGGCCTCTCACTGTTGTGGCCTCTCCCGTTGTGGAGCACAGGCTCCGGACGTGCAGGCTCAGCAGCCATGGCTCACAGGCCCAGCCGCTCTGCGGCATGTGGGATCTTCCCGGACTGGGGCACGACCCCATGTCCCCTGCATTGGCAGGCAGACTCCCAACACTCGCCACCAGGGAAGTCTTATTATGTTTGACTTTTAACTTTCAAACTAGACTTGTAAGTGAAT